AAGATAATCTACCACGCCACAATACCATACTTTCATCAAGGGATAGATTTTTTCCTGGTTGATATATTTCAGGAACTAAATAAAAAGATAAAAATCTAAAATACCATTTTTTAAGCTCTTTTCTCTATTCGGATTGCCGAATATAGGACTCTCCTAATTCTAGCCTAAAATACTATATTGTATTATAAATCAGATTTTTCTTTATTGTAATCTATTTTGTTTTTATTTCAGTAAAACTGCTTGGAAATGAGTGACAGTGAATTAAAATACGCAAATCTACTACTATTTACCTAAACAAAAAGAGTGCGTATATTATTAGTATATGTATGAAAACAAAAATAAATATTATTAACACGTTCGCTGCCATGTTGGTCCGATGGGACCATCATTGATGTTGCTTCAATAGGCCACGTTGGTCCAATGGGACCAACGCAAGTATTGCATTAACAGGCCTTGTTGGCCCTATGGGACCAACATTTATTCCGATATGTATCGAGCCATTGGTGTTTATTTAGTATTAAATCACCATGGGAATGGACCAACGAGGCCTACAAGCTATGTGCTGTATAGAGAATTTGTGCGATTTATAGAGTATGACAAATGTGGTCCCATATAAGTCAAAAACGTTATTTACAACTTTGGGATGATATTTATTGATACAAACATGTTTTTCAACAACAGAAAAATCAAATAACGTAAAACAACCAATAAAAAAGGTTATTTAAATTCTATGTAATTCATTAAAACAACCTATAGACAGAAAAGGTTCCTTGTCACAGCTTTTGCAAAAGGTGTCTACCTTTTTAGTTTTGTTCATAGCATACTGACGGCCGTGTTGCTCACTATTTTTTTTTGTAGCAGTTCTTGCAAATCTTCCTTCGTTGATGTTTACTTCCGTCTGCCTTCTGTTCAAGCTGATGGTGATTATTTGACACACTTCGTGGTACAGTAGTGGTTTCTTTATAAGTAACTAGATGTTTCACTATTTGTTTTTTAAAATCTGTCACCGACATGTTATTTGTTACAAGCTTATATATTAAAAAAGAATTTATAACTGATGTAGTTAATAATCATTCAAACCCCACTTTTTTAAAACCATTTTACGCTTTTCCTTAGGGGGTTGGAATACGCTCCCATTTGGTCAGATAAGTCTACTGCCGCTTTGCCTTTATTGTAATCTATTACCACCTTGGGTTTCAGTTTAGTTTGTCGATTACAAGATACTTCGACCATTTCATTGCCGTGTTTAGTAGAAAGCATGTAAATATTTCTTTTGTCTTTCCAGTTCGTAATGGTCACTCTATCATCACTTTCCATAGAAGCAATCTGCCTTTTATTTAATTTTGCAGCTACTACTTCTTGGGGTAAATATTTTCGATTTTTTCGAACAGTTCCTATCAGGTGTGTATCGACGGACAACATTTTTTTGCTAGCGGTAAACTTGTATACCAATTGTCGGTTATCAGAATTCTTCCTTTATGTACTAAATCCTCCATAAGATACAGAACAACGCTTTCTGGAGTGACGTTAGAACTATTTTCGTTCCCTGCATATACTTTGAAATTGTAAGTATATCCAGATCCAGAACAAAATTTTTACACCATATTTGTGTCTTTTTTTCTTAATGTACTGTTTAAACCCCAAGCGTCCCCTAAAGGGTAATAGGGTTTCATCGATGCAGACATATTCTTCCGGCACTTATACAGACTTAAAATTTGCAGTCAGAATGTCGACAAGTGGCTTTAACTTATACAGTTTATCACTTGTATCTGCCAATAAATTATCATTAAAGTGAAACATCCTTAACAGCATCTCGAATCGATTTCTAGACATTACATTCTATGCAAAATTATTGTAGAATAGGTTATCGCTACTCCAATAGTCTGCGATTTTTGGCATTTTTACTAAACCCATCCAGGCAACCAGTCCTAAAAAATTTCTAATTTCAATATTTGTCGTTGGAATCCAGTCATGTAAGCGAGAGCTTGGTGTTTCGTCTGCAGTCAGTACAGGTTTGTTTGGTTACAAATCAGACTAATTACTCTGTCATCGACCACAGAATCAAAAAAGTCTCCAGGCGTACCATTTGCCAACATTGCAGCTACTTCATCATTTACTCCTGACGGAATAGAAAAAGGTACTATTAGCTTATAATTACCTACTACTGGACCCCAATTTGGTTCTATATTCGGTACTGGATCTTCACTACGGTGGGGATCTAAGTTCGGTTCTGGATCGAGTATTGAATTTAAGTTCGGTCCTGGAACGATATTACCTTGAAGATTATGATTAGGTTGTTCTGGATCATGCATTGAATTCAAGTTTGGTCCTGGATTGATATTATCGTGAACATGACGAGTAGGTTGTGAATCTAATTTTATTTTTTTTCTCTGTAAAAACTTTCGTACATTTTCCACCGTTTCTTCTGAATCTGACGAATCTGATTCTTCTTCTGAACTACACAGGTACTCACTATCAGAAGCTTCGAATGGTTCATTATCGTCATCGGAGAGTTCTCCAAAATTGATTGCAACGTTTTGCAATTCACGCTCTGTCACAGGTTTAGAACGTCGAGAGATCTAAAATTACACAATATGTTGTAAAAATATTGTAATTTAAACATTATGTAATACTTACAGCAATTTATTCTTTCAATTTATTGAAATGAAAAACAATCAACAAGAACAATAGGCAATGCAAATTCGTTTATTTATGTTAGGTTATGTTTACTGCGACGGACCAACGGCACACAGAAGCATTAGTACGGTTCACTGGGCCGCGTTGTCCCGATGGGACCAACACATTTGTTATATGGTGGCTCATAGGAGCACTTAAAAAAAGAATGGCTGACTCACGGAGGCATTGATTTACAAAATATAGTCGGCAGCGAACGTGTTAACAAAAATTAATAATAATGGGTTTGAGCGTTCTTGACTACGTCACACTCCTGAGCCAGCTGTCAAATGTCATGCGCAATATCATACCTTGTACTCCATCATGGAGGTACACTTCATCTAATTTATATAACGATGGGCGTCATAGCCTGTGACGTCACATGATACCAACACGAAATATTTATGCGGTAGGTGTGTTCTTTTTTAGAATCACTTTACCGAGTACATTGGTATTACAGCCAATCGAACGAAGGTAAAATTTTGGCATAAATTGGTAACACTTACTTGACAGTTACGGTGTTGACACTTTTTGTACTTTATTATTTTGAATTTTAAAATGAATATCTCTTGTTTTATATTTTTTCCTATTTAATAAAATTTGTTCTTTTAGAACAAAATTAGTGTGTTTTATTTAAAAAATGTCACGTAAGAATTTAAATAGTCATTGTAAAGCGATGGTAATACTTTTGCAATAATTATGTGATCTATTTGATTTAAAATGGAGTCAGGATTTTTTTATACTTTGGCAACTATGTCAACTTCGATCTCTGACGTAGACATCGAGCAAAAAGACAATAGAGGGAATGTCATCGAGCAAAAAGACAATAGAGGGAATGTAAAGGTAGTGGGGGCAAATATATTGTTAGACAGGAAGTGCGATCTTTAGAGGCCACATTAAATAAGGAAAGAGAGTCTCTCTCCTTGTTTGACATCAAATTTAGTTGGGTTATGTTATTGTTTGTCCCAAATGTCACATGAAATCTTATTTATATTGAAGTTTTTTAACAATTGTGTCGCATTTTAGACTCTTATCATTAATAATTAATTAAAACTTTCTCGTCTAAGACACATTCTGCGAAATATTATATAGCTACTGTTGATAGGTGTCGGAAAATTTAAATTTGGCGCATTCGCATTTCCGGATATGTCCGCCATCAGAGGCCACTTTTTTGGTCTCCTTTTCATAAGGATTAGATTCCCTCTTTTGTCTTATTTCTCGATGGACGTAGATCATGACGTAAGTCGTTATCTAAATTAGATGAAGTATAGGTGATCTGTGGATGGAGTATTCTGTCACAGAATAATAAACAATCAGAATGCCCACTCTCCATGGAAAATTAAGCATGATACTATGATAAGACGATAAGATATTGCGCATAAGTCGTGACGTCATTGGAGAGTTGGACGTTCGAAATGTCAGTTTTTTGTGTCAATAAATAATCTTTAATAAATAGTTTTCAGTAATTTCATCACAGAATGCATACAAATCCCATTTAACTTTAACAAGAATTCAAATTCTACTCTCCAATGACGGTATGTGCGAACATGTTTTAGAGGGAACCAGTGTTGTTTACACTTCATCTAATTTATATTACGATGCACGTCATAGGCGTCATAGCTTGTGACGTCACATGATACCAACACGAAATATTTATGCGGTAGGTGTGTTCTTTTTAGAATCACTTTACCGAGTACATTGGCATTACAGCTACTAGACATATTTTATTATATGCGCGTAGAAATAAAATTTAAAATTTTTTATTAGTGTTAACTTAAATAAATACACAATAATATGTTTTATTTAATTTGTATAAATGCATTATAAAGCGTTTTTATCAAGAACATTTGTTCGGAACACACTGTAACTGTAATCGAACGAAGGTAAAATTTTGGCATAAATTGGTAACACTTACTTGACAGTTGCGGTGTTGACACTTTTTATACTTTATTATTTTGAATTTTAAAATGAATATCTCTTGTTTTATATTTTTTCCTGTTTAATAAAATTTGTTCTTTTAGAACAAAATTAGTGTGTTTTATTTCAAAAATGTCACGTAAGAATTTAAATAGTCATTGTAAAGCGATGGTAATACTTTTGCAATAATTATGTGATCTATTTGATTTAAAATGGAGTCAGGATTTTTTTATACTTTGGCAACTATGCCAACTTCGATCTCTGACGTAGATCATGACGTTATGACGTAAGTCGTTATCTAAATTAGATGAAGATATGTTCTGTTCTCTGATATGTGTGTATTTTGTTGTGATTTTGTTTCTTTTCTTTGATAACTTATTGTGAAAACATATAAAATCAAGTTTTATGAAATGGAAGTAAAACAAGAATTTAATGAGTTCAGATGTAAAGACGAAATAGATAATGAGGGGCGCGATTCTCTTTTTGATACCTTTAAAATTGAGATTAACGAGGAACCCAAGAGGGAAAGTACAAATGACACATTTGAGTTTTTAGTTTTAAAGGAGGACCCTATAAAGACAGAAAAAGTAGAATATGAAGATAAACTTATACTATGTGATGAAAAAGGAACAAATGAAAAAAGTAAGTAATTAAAAAACTGCTTCCCTTCGTAAAATATTATCTTACCTGTATATATGTCAATACTACTTATATATCAAATTCTTAATACTAATTTGACCTTAAATATTAAATTAAGTATTGGTAATTATTTTTCAAGAGGGTATGTTACAAAAATGCACAATTTTTGTGGCGGAAAAAGTACAGGAAAACTTTAATTATAATTTACAATTTGATTGCGCCAAATTTATGCAATTACAGGTCCTCTTTGCTATGTTAGAAGAAGTAATATTTTCTTATTTTACACATAAAACTAAAACATTTTATAATTTAAGTGGTAAGTGGATGAAGGAGGTAAAATTTTGCTTTTGAGTTTTCATCATGGATGAATGTTAAATTAAGCATGGTACTGACACTTCAAGAAAGAAAGATGTGGGCAACATTGTATCGATAGATTTTTGGCAAAGTAATGTAAGTGACATTTTTGGCGAAAATCATGTTTTTCAATTAAACTAACACTATTATTGTTAAAAAGGTACTGCCAAAGTGTTGTAAGCTTAGAATTACTTTAAACCTTTTTTAGGACAAGTGTTTTCAGTCATAATTTAAATAAGTTTAACCAGGTTGAATTAAAAAATTGTTTTTTCTACAAATCGTGTTTGGTGACTTACGTTACTTTGCAAAAAATGTATCGGTATGTTCATATACACCCTTCATCCAGAAAACTGGCTGCATGATAGTGAACTTCTTCAACCATCAAAAGATGCTAAATTATCAGTCTTACAAAGGAGAACTAAAGCCTGATAAATATGTTAATATATAGTATTCATGCCCTGAAGTATCCTTTAAAGTGTAGTAAACAAGCAGCACAGCATCACATCTCAGGCGTTTTATTTGTGACAAATGCAGCTGTACAACTTTGGTCAACACAAGACATAATACCAAAAAAGGTTGACAAATCTGTCTTCTGTACATGGACAGAGGACCAGGCTTCTAGAGTAGTGGGGAAATATTTAGCTGTTTATCGACAGCTATAGAGTTTGAAGACTGTTAAGAAACTAAGAGCACATAATTATATTGTCAGATTTGTGTGCTGGCCAAAATCAAAATTTCCTCCTAATTTGCCTTTACTAGTACCTAATACAAAAGGGCTGATTTAAAATAATAGATCATAAATTTCCAGAGGCTGTCATACTTACCTATATTGTGATAGAGACAGGTTGAATAGTAAAAAAAATTAAATGAACACCAAAACATTTAATATCCTAAAGAGTACCATCCGATTATAGCCAACTCAGGAAGAATAAATAAAGTTCTTGACATGACAAATCATTTTAGCCAAACTGATAACTTGATGAACAATCTAAAATTGTATAATAGAAAAAAGAACTTGGGAAACTAGTGCATTTCAGGGACAGTATTAATCACTTATGAGTTGATCATTATAGTTACTATTTATTAAAAATTTATTATGATGAATTTACTTCTTTTAATAAGGTCAACATCTTTCATACCTTGAACCGTATACCATCACTTCAGGAGGAAGTTTCAATTCCTCTTTCAAAGCTTCACATCAACAATAACTGGCATGATCAAGAAAGCCAGGCTTGAAAATATGTGGGAGCACTGCAGTCTATCCCTAAATGTTATAGATTGTGGTATATTCAAACTCTAAATGAGTACCAATAAAACACTAAATAATATTTTATTGTGGAAATAATTTTGTTACTTTTATGTATTATGTGTTAGGGCATGTACTTACACAAATTTTTTTTTAAATATTAAATACCACATTTCAATGTGATTACAGTAGAAAACTCAAAAAAGCAACAGTAATAATATTAGCTTGAAAATAAACATGATAAGTGTATATCAGAGATATGTAAGGGAGAGGATATGACATATGGTGAAGTAGATGGGTTCACTTGTGTGATATTGGATTGTGCAGTCTGTCAAATGTAAGTTATCACACTATGTCCATAGTATTAATATATTACCCAAAAATATGTTGAAGAATCGGAGTTTTGCAAGTTTTGATGGAAAAAATTTACATATAAGGGTATCATAAATATAGCTTAAATTAATTTAAATCCGGACCTACCCGTCGCCATATTGGATAGGACATAGTGTCAAATTAAGTGGTCCCATTTAGTAAATACAGAAATATCGTTTGTGTCACATCCTCTCTCTTAGGGCGAGCGCCCACCAAAGTGGAGTGGCAAGTAGCAAGTAGCACGCGTCTAGCATGTTTTTTAAAATGTAACCAATGAAAACAAATGATTTGAATGAATGACGTCACTGTCATTTTGGTGTACGCTGAATCATTCGTTTTCATTGGTTACATTTTAAGAAACATGCTATTCTTTGTTTCAAGTTAAGAAAGTAACATTACGCTTATGGAGATCAGTGTTGCCAAAACTCTCAGACACTCTCTTTTGCACGGATGTCCAAGATATTCCCTTTGCTTAATTTTTGAATTTTCATTTTCAATTAACATTTAACTTTAAAGTCCAAATAACTAATAAATAAAAGCCTCATTATCATTATGTAGTCAGAGAACGACATAAAATAGCTGACATACGCACATCATATTATTTTAAGTTGCAATTAGTAATTAGATATACGCATTCCAAGCGGTCAATATTTTCTACTGATTTCTATGATTCAGTGGCATATCGTATTCTCACCGAAAAACAAATAAACTGTCGTTACTATAATTAATATATGATAAAATAATTTTTTTTTTGTAAATACTATTTATCTAATTAAAATCATTTTCCCTACTTTTCATCTTTTGTTTCGAATGGGCACTTTTGGTCAATTACGGTAAAAAACATTAATTTAATTCATGTTTGTGGAAACAAAAATACAAATTATACAACCCTAAATTGTGCTTGTGTGTGTCGTGGCAACGCCGCGTTGCTATCGTCCATAAGAAATACATGGTCCTATCTCTGCAATGTTATTTTCTAAACGTGGAACGTAGTATAGATGCGTGCTACTTGCCACTTGCTACGTGCCATGCCACTTTGGTGGGCGCTCTCACTAACATACCTCTGGTGTACCTATATAAACAAAGTAGTAATATAAAATCTTTGAGAGCTTAAATCTGCAAAATTTGATTTTGTTATATACCTCATTCATCCACTTAGCACTTCAATTATTTAACCGTTAATAAAAATCATTAAATTTTTAATCAATGAAGAAGAATTTCCAGGTATGACTCTATGTTCAGTTCTTGATGTAACTATGTACAGTCTCTGGCCATATTATTATGACCACCTATGATTTTTTACAAAAATCGACTTCTTCACAACTTTTTGTTTAGAAATTTATTTTGAAATTCAATTTTTTTATGTAAACTGCTTTAATTATAATATATTTAATAATAAATAGCAATAAAACATTTGAGAAGATTATATATTTATATAATTTTTAATATTTTGTTGAACCCTTTTGTCTTTGATTACCGCTTGTACCTGTCTTTGCATACTTTTAATGCAGCTAAAGATACTTTGCTTTAGTTTTTCGTTGTGGTTCCAATGATATATTAGTTTTTCAATTAAAACAATTTTGTTTGTGACTTTTTCTTTGGAAATTTCCCATTTAAGAAGTTCCCAAACATTTTATATGGGATTAAGGTCAGAAGAATTTCTCGGCCAGTCCAAGAGAGGAATACCATTCTCAACCAGTAATTTTTTCACTGATTTTGCAGTATGACATGATGCACCATCTTGCATAAATATGCATTCCTCATTAGGAAACCATTCATGTACTTGAGGTATTAGTCTATTCTGTAATATTAATATGTATTGATCTTGTTGATTATCCCCTTAACTATTTGAAGTCTACCAAGTCGTTACTGCCAATGGTAGACAACACCATTATTTTTGTTGGGTGTTTTACCCTTTTAGTAACACATTAAGGTAAATACTTTTCTTCTGGTCTTCGTTTAATATATTGAGCTTTATTGGTTAATATTTCAAAGGTACTTTCGCCACTGAAGCAAACCTGTAAAAATGAAAAATTTTAGTTTAATCATGTTTTACAAACTATAAAAATGCCAAACATTTTTTCACTGTTCTACAGTAAAGTTCTCGTATTTCTTTGTCCAAGCTAGTCTTTGTTTCTTAATATTTTTTGTAAGAAGAGGCTTTTTAGCTAGACATAAGCTTTTAAACCCCCGACCCATTAATTTTTCAACACACTGTACACGGACAGATCTTTTTTCTTCCCCATGTCTAAAACAAGGGAAAGTTGAAACCCCATTTTAAAAACAACTATTTTAACAAAAAAATCTCAAATTTAAAACAATGGAGTATTAAGTTATAATAATAATATTCAGAAAACTTACCAATTGGTAAAACATTTGAAAAAAAAACGTCTTTTAAATGCTGCTTGCAGTCCAGAGTAAACAGTAGCACAACTGAAAATGTGCGCTTTTTCACTAACCTTAGACCTTGACTCGAGAAATGTTTACACTCTTATAAAAGATTTGATGAATAAGGTAATTGACATGTTAACATTTTTTATATTAAACCATAATTAAACTCAATTCAGCATATATTTACAATAAAATAAAAATCTTAAATATAAATTTCTTGAATACACAATTTATTAGATCTTATCTCTACTTGAGCTTACCTTTACAAAAAAATATAGGGGCTCTTTTACTATTTAACAGAAAACGTGACTTCAAAGTATCACAGTTTTCTTTGAGGAAAGGCAACAATAGGAAAATAAATTTACAAAAAAAAACTATAAAATTATAAAGCTAGTGTTATATATTTTCAAAGTAAATTAAGTATTATAATTTTGGAATAGCAAATAAAAAATATACCATAGATCATAATCAGAATAATAAAAAATCAAGCATCCATCAAATTATAACCCAGAATGATCAATAAAAAATTAATTAAACTTGTATCCAAATCAAAGACATATTATTTTATTCTTTCATTTACTTTTTTACTAGTGATTTAAAAATTTTATATTTACTTTAATTTTCAATTAAGAAAACAAAC